AAGACATTTCAGGATCAATTGCTAGGCTTGCACGCATGCACACTTGAAGGATTAAGTTTGTTTGTTGGAGTAATAATACAAATAACAATGGTAATACGATTCCCTTATACAACACATTTCCGAAACGAAAGTGCTCTATACACTTTACAATAATACAAAGAACACGAGAACTAATTCTTATAACAATAATTTATCTCTCTCGCCCCAATTTAGTACAGGGAAAAAGTGAGACAACCAGAGAGAGACACAAATGTTTGTTTGTTCAAGTAAAAGGAAGCGCATCGACAAGATGACTGTCATTTTGTGCAGGGAAAAAGAAGACAGAGAGGTCTGTGCATATATTATGTGTACGTGTGGACAACTCTAGCACTGGCACTCACCTGTTGGTGTTATGTGTAAAAGTGTGCAAGTGTATGAGCGTGAGTATTTGTGTGTATGTGTGTGTGCGTGTTTGTGAGTGTGTGTGCAAGTGTCAGTGTGTGTGTGTGCGTCTTTAGGTAAGTGTCTCGGTGTATGTGCCACTGTGTGTGTGTGTGTGTGTGTGTGTGTGTGTGTGTGTGTGTGAGAGCGTGAACAGCTCTAGCTCAGACACTCACCTGTCGTATGGTGTGTAGCCGTTCTGCTGCAGGAAATCGTCTTTGATCAACTTGGCCACCTCCAGAGTGATCTTGTCTGACTCAGCCAGGGAACCCTGAAGAGTGAAAAAGGAAGGGGGACGTTTTACAATGAACAACATAAAGGGGGGAAACTTTTCAGAAATCATACAGCTGACAGAGTGGGTGGTTTGCAGGTGCTCTGGTGTGGTTTGCTTCTTCTTTCCTGTCAAACTTCTATCGTCTTTATCTTCCCTTCTTCTTTTTTATGTTTGTCACTCTCTTGTAACACCTCTAATAATCTTCTGGCGCTCATATGACCTTTGCAGTTGCGAGCGCCGTAAAACTTTTACTAAAACTAAAAACAGCTGGCAGTCACTGAGGTACCAACTGCCAGAAGAAAAAAAAAAATTAACGAACTTTTTGTACTCTGTGACAATGCGAATAGGAAGAGTAAAAATTTACAGATACTATCGTTTATCACGTCTTGTATCAAGAATAATCTTTACTAAAATAAAATGCAAAAAATTCAGACAACCCCGGAAGAATTGGCACCAATGCAGTCAAAAACAGACAGGAACTATTGACGGACTGGCCGCCACTTATCCCTCAGAGCCTCCTACCACTACTGCTATCACTACTACAATGATGAGCAGACGTGGATCAGACTTCGGGACGACGTCCGGCATCATGAGAGAATCGAGACACTCACCTTACCCACAAGCTGGACAATTTCGGAAAGATCTTCTTCTTCCTGCAAGATTTCCTTACACTGTGGATCAAACAGAGGAGAGAAAAAATATAGCTACAATGCAGCACACATCATACCATCCTAACATGACAGCAACTAAAGCAAGGGTCATTTTTTAGGGGGAATGAAGGGAGTGTGTGTGTGTGTGTGTGTGTGTGTGTGTGTGTGAGTGTGAGTGTGTGTGTAGGGGGGAAGAAATATTATGTCTTTATCTCATTAGACCATGCTCCAAACCTTCCTCTGTACACTGACTACAGCTCCAATCAGGTCAACTGTAATACAGTGATTTCATCACTATAGACGATTTAAGTTTCCAAGTCTCTACCCATGTATGCCTTTTAAACCAAATTGTCACATTAATTAACTTTGCAGTTAAGCGTTGTATTTGCTTTTCTTATACAAACCAAATTTACCGCACAAGGATGAATAATGAACATGAAATTTTATTTTATTTTCAAATATAGTTATTTATTTTATTTTCAAACATAATTATTTATTTTATTTTCAAACATTTTATTTTACATTATTTCGTTTTTAAAAATCTGCGTCTGCCACAAGAAGCAAGCTGCCCCGGGCGACAGAACCAACTGACCTTGTTCCTGAGCGGGACAAAGTCTGGGTACTGCTGCTCATAGTACTCATCCAGGGCGCGCTCGTACTTGGAGTAGGAGATGAGCCAGTTGACGGACGGGAAGTGCTTGCGCTGGGCCAGCTTCTTGTCCAGCCCCCAGAACACCTGCACGATGTTCAGCGTGGCCGTGGTGACCGGGTCGGAGAAATCTCCACCGGGCGGGGACACGCTGAGGACGAAGACAGAAGTATCGTGTCGTGTTACAGTACACATTTGAATTTGAGTAAACGGAAGCACAGCAACACAATATCCATCATTTACTCAGGGATGCCAAATGATTTTGGAAAAAAAAAAAAAAAAAAACGGAAAATGAGCGGAGCATCACACCTCACCTAAAACGAACCTTGTAAAATCTTTAAATGAGCAAACAAAAACATTTCTCTTACCATTCCCCTTTCCTTTGAAAGTGTAGGAAAAAAACCGGAAAAAGCCGGAAAAACCAGAGATTTGGCATCGCTGTTTACTACAAGGAAAAAGCAAGACAAAATGGGCTGATAAAACCACAAAAAAATAAATTTAAAAGCAACGGAGGGAAAAGTAGAATCCACCAATGGCGCTCTCCAACTACACGCATGCTAGGAGGCGGCCATTTCCGATTTCCCATCAATAGGATCAAAAGATTGGCACTGCATGCAACAAGATGTAAGTTGTGAGAGGAAAGGTTTAAAACGGAACAATAACCACTTCAAGACTTGCTGTTTCAGCAAAATAACGCATGGTCACCGTGCAGGCAGGGTTAAACCCAGCACGTCAACAACAACAACAACAAGCAACAAGAAGGGGGGAAAAAAAAAAAAGACAAAGAAAGACAAAAGGAAAAAAAAGAAAGAAAGACAAAAGGAAAAAAGAAAAAGAAAAAGGAAGACAGACAAAAAAGAAAAAGAAAGAAAGACAAAAGGAAAATAGAAAAAGAAAAAGGAAGACAGACAAAAAAGAAAAAGAAAGAAAGACAAAAGGAAAATAGAAAAAGACAAAGGAAGAAAGACAAAAAATAAAAAGAAAGAAAGACAAAAGGAAAATAGAAAAAGAAAAAAGAAGACAGACAAAAAAGACAAAGAAAGAAAGACAAAAGGAAAATAGAAAAAGAAAAAGGAAGACAAAAGGAAAAAAAAGAAAGAAAGAGAAAAGGAAAATAGAAAAAGAAAAAGGAAGAAAGACAAAAAAGAAAAAGAAAGAAAGACAAAAAGAAAATAGAAAAAGAAAAAGGAAGACAGACAAAAAAGAAAAAGAAAGAAAGACAAAAGGAAAATAGAAAAAGACAAAGGAAGAAAGACAAAAAAGAAAAAGAAAGAAAGACAAAAGGAAAATAGAAAAAGAAAAAGGAAGAAAGACAAAAAAGAAAAAGAAAGAAAGACAAAAGGAAAAGAAAAAAAGAAAAAGGAAGACAGACAAAAAAGAAAAAGAAAGAAAGACAAAAGGAAACAAAAAAGAAAAAGAAAGAAAGACAAAAGGAAAAGAAAGAAAGACAAAAAAGAAAAAAAACAAGCTTTCCCCATCATTTCTCAGAAGACACCAAACCAAATACTACTATGCTGTTGTTTTATTATTCATGTCTTGCCCATTTTGCTGCTTTTTGCTCACAGTTTGAATTCGCGATTTGAGTCGCCCAGTGCCCTGTGGAACTGAGCTGACGTGAACTTTCACAGCCTTATTTTTGGGGGAAAAGGGGGAAACAAAGAAAAACCATTCTTTCTAAAAACTTAGGATGATTAAAAAAAAAAAAGAAAAAAAGAACAACTCACGCTCCGACAATACTGACGGATCCTTCTCTGCTGGGACTTCCCAGACACTTGACGCGGCCGGCCCTCTCGTAGAAGTGAGCCAAACGGGCGGGCAGGTAGGCTGGGTAGCCAGAATCGGCAGGCATCTCAGCGAGACGGCCAGAGATTTCTCTCAAGGCCTCGGCCCATCGGGACGTGGAATCGGCCATCATGGACACGTTCAGACCCATGTCTCGGAAGTACTCGGACAGGGTGATACCTACAGCAGGGTGACGGTTGATAGTTTAGTTTTGTTTTAGTAAAAGTTATATGGCGCTTGCAACACGATTAGGTCATACAAGTGACAAGGATTAGAGGTGTCACAAGAGAGTAATAATATACACAAAACAGGAGGAGAGATAGGAAAAACAGATGTTTGATAATAAAAATATTATGGCACTTGAGACACAAATAAGCTATGCAATTGCCAAATATTAGAGGTGTTACTAAAGAATAACATACTTGTACAAAGAAAAGGAGGAAAGATAATGATGATACATGTTTGATAGGAAAGAAGGAGCCAAACACACAAGAGTACCCGCCAACCACCCACATGCAGCTGTTTGTTTTTAAAAATTTTAAATACAACCAAGGAATCACAGGATCCCAAAAATAAAAATGCATTAATTAATCACAGCCTAATACAGAGTACCGTACGCCGACAACCAGCAGGCTGTTTTTGGAATGGAACTGAATGTACCCAATACTGCACTTTGAAAATAAATTTCAAGCTTATAACACCAAATTACTTCTGAAACCCCCCAAAAAAGAGATCTGCCCATTAATTTCAAGGTGTATACTCTACACTGTTTTTCTCCCTTAATTTTGTCCATTCCATTTTTCGTTAACGTTTTTCATTCACAATTAGAGTTGCCAAATATGTTCCGATACAGTAGCCCTCCTTTAAACATTTTGTTTGCAACACCTTCTGAATTCGCAAATTTCTTTAGTAGATCACCAACGAACAACCGCCTGCGGCAGATATGTACCTCCAAAAACAATGAAAGAAAGATATAAAAGAAGTTTTTCACCATCTAGCATAAGGCTTTTGTCAGAATGAGCATAGATGAGTGTTGCTCTTAGAGTATGTATCTCTCTCTATATATATATAACTCCAAAGGTCTAGTATTTAAATTACTGCATGTGGTTGAAGTATGCATTTAATGTAAATGTACATTTTGTCAGCTTTATTTCTCCTTTCATATTGAATTTTAATGAGAGTAATATATATGATTTACATTTTTTTATATGTATACCTGCATGTGTTTTTACGGTCCTGTACAGCCAAGGAAAATTTCCCTCTGGGATAATAAAGTACTATCTTATCTTATCTGATCTCTTATAGTGTTTGGTAACTCAAGAAGAAGGCGAAGAAAGTACGTCCCACTTACCGGTGTAGATGGAGGCCTCTCTGGCAGCCACAGGCATGTTGGAGGTGTTGGCCACCAGCGCTGTACGCTTCATGATGCTCTCCTGTTTGCCCTCCACGTCCATGGTCAGCTGTAGAGGGGGGGGGGAGCAGAATGGTGATGGTCAGAGGTTACAGCAGACGGTATAGGTCAGAGGTCACAACAGAATGACAAGGGGTCAGAGGTTACAGAAGACTGTATAGGTCAGAGGTCACAACAGAATGGCAAGGGTCAGAGGTTACAGAAGACTGTATAGGTCAGAGGTTACAACAGAATGGCAAGGGTCAGAGGTTACAGAAGACTGTATAGGTCAGAGGTCACAACAGAATGACAAGGGTCAGAGGTTACAGCAGACTATAGGTCAGAGGTCACAACAGAATGGTATGTGTCAGAGGTTACAGCAGACTGCATAGGTCAGAGGTCACAACAGAATGGTATGTGTCAGAGGTTACAGCAGACTATAGGTCAGAGGTCACAACAGAATGACAAGATATGAGAATGGTATGGGTCAAAGGTCACAACAGATGGTATGAGTAAAATTGTTTTACAACTGAGCAGGACGGCCCAGTATATCATGGTTGCTGGAATTCAAGTGTGATACGATCGAGAAGATTTGTTTTATCAAAGTATATAATGGCATAAGCAACAGAAGTTGGTCATATAAAAGCTGAAGAATAATAGGAACAATTTGAGAGTAACATTTTTTTAAAAAAGGTGGCAAGACAAGGACGACAGGTGCAGCCAGGACCCACCTCGGGGAAATCTCTCAATACTTCGGACATCTCATTGCCTCTCTCGCCGCAACCGACGTAGATGATGATGTCAGAGTTGGAGAACTTGGACAGGGACTGGGAGATGACAGTCTTACCGCAGCCGAAGGCGCCGGGGATGGCCGTGGTCCCGCCTTGCACACACCTGGTGGGAGGGAAGGGAGCGGGGATACAAGTCGAGAAAAAAAATATGACAGTTGTCTACACAAGCAACGGCAGAGAACATATGTTGCTTTTTGTTTTTTCCCCCTTTAGATTAGAATATATAATTAATACCAGAGGGATAGGTAAGAGGGTCCGCTGAACAAGAGCAAATGTTCATCCTCTGCCCCTACCACAAACTGTACAGTTCACTGATCCTGCATACATAAGGATTCCCGCTAAACAATTGTAATATTAATATATTTGCTGATTACTAGAGCTTGAAGTATCTCCAAAGATTTTTGAGAGGAAATGCCTACAAAACTCCCTCCAAAAAAAAAACAACAACAACAAATAAATAAATACAATTTTTTAAAAACCTAAAAAAAAAAATTTTAAATTAACCAAACTACAAAGATGTCCAAATTAAGTCACTTACAAATCTATCAAAATCAGAACGTCTTCATACTAGGCTGCATGTGGGCAGGGGTCTGTCTCGTGAGAACTTGTCCATAGCATTAAGTGAATTAATTATTTACCGTTACTGTATTCCATTCACTTCTGCTCAAACATCAACAACAAGTCATGATTAAGGATCTTTTCCGCAAGCAAAGAAAGACGGCAGTAAATTTAAATCACTTCAATTAGTTTTGTCAGAAGAGCAATCCCTGTCCAGTTAAACCTTCCAAGACGGCCAGTTTTCTCCTCGACAATGGGTGGCCGTCTGAAACAATTTCAACTGAAATTTCTAATCCAACAATTCCCAGGCCGGAGGTCAAAAACATAAAGCCTTCTAATTTCTAAACTAATAATTCTTGGGTCAGAGGTCAAAGACGTACGGGAAGAGAGCGTCCAGCACACGCTGACCGGTCAGCAGTGGGTAGTTGGCGGCCAGTTTGTCCGTCACAGGCCTCATCTGTCGCACGGGCCACACCTGCAACATGCTGTGAGTGGTCTTGACGCCGTCAAACTCCGTCTCCAGCAGGGGTTCCTGTGCATCAGAAAGAAAGTAAGTAAGTTTATTCACTGTTTAAGGCCATTGGCCCACATCACATGGCACAAAACATGCATTTGATACATAAAGTTTCCATAATGAATAGGTAAAGGGTGTGCACATATCTTTTATCATGAGTCAAACATTGCATATTTCAGTTGCAGTTCTCAGTGGAATGATCCCTGGGTGTTGGATATGCCTGGTTTTCTCAAAATGTTGGAATCACTAGACTCTTTCTCAGTGAAGTAAAAAGTAGACTTGTTGATCATTCTGTGCAGAACATAGAGGAACAAGTCTGTCGCAAGTATAATTTAATCAGGAAGAAAAAAAACAAAGCAAGAGATCAAGTCATTACGACAACTAAAGTTAGAAATTCATATTCACACGATTCAGCAGATTTGAGGCCTGACAACTTCTAAATTCAAAACAGTTGGACATGTGAGACTTCTTTAATTGCCCAATAAATTAAACAATTCTCATCAGCACTGGCGGTGACCTCTCTGGGACCAAATCTCAAAAGGTCATCTGAGAAAAGTTATTAACCTAGATTTTTCACACAAGCAATTATTTAGCATGTCCCTGTTTAAATGGAACCTCTAATGCATCTTCAAATATGTACTGTCACCATTTTTAAAATGTTTTCCTTTAATATCACTACCGTCTGACCCCATTTAAAATTTACGACAGAGCCATGTAAGAGACACCCACTTAATGATGAAATAAAAATGCACACTACACTTTCCCAAATCCTTCCTTCGGCAACAACAACAAAAAAGAATGTAGCGACAAGAATTAAGAATATTTTCACAGAAAAAGACCCCGGCCCTGCCCACTCACGGTGATGTTGTAAGAGCCCGGGTCGGCCATCCACGTGACTGTGCCCATGGCCTTGGGGTTCAGCATGATCTTGTGCTTGACCAGAATGTTCTCGTAGACAACGCCGTAGATGTCGCCTCCCGTGATGTGGCTGCCAACCTGGGGACACGCGACACAGAAACAATAGAAGTGGGTTTGTTTTTTTTTGTTTTTTTTAATAGTAGCGGGTTTTACGGCGCTCGCAACTGCATAAGGTCATATGAGCGCCAAGGGGTGGGTGTCAACAGAGAAGTCTTTACAGGGAATCAGACTTAGACTGCTCACCTCTCTAGCTTCAACAGCACAAGGTCTGCTTCGACTATCAAGGCACCTCGTAAATAGCAGTCACAAGAGTGTGACGAAAATACAAAAGAAGTAGAGGAAAATGACAATAGTAAGGAAAAAGCAGCAGTTCCCT